TATATATATAATGTGGAAATTTGGTTGTAGTTCATTGGTAAATACTGGGTAATTGATGTACTATTAAGATCACTAAATAAGTTTATTTACATAGTAAATTTCTAAGTATACATTTTATAATAGCATGGTAATTAGGTGAATGTAAAAATAAAGTTGGTAGTTTTTTGGCAAATAGTGGGTAATTGAGATACTATTGAACTGTTTTGTATAGAATTATACACTAAATATGTTTAATATGTTCTTTCCAAGTAATTACATGATAAATTACTGTAATGACCAAGTAAATGCATATAAAATATACTGTAAATGTTAGGTAATTGCATGGTAATTAGGGGACTGTAAAAGAAAGGATTACCAACAATTCACCAGCTTACTGATGAATTCAGATCAGAAACAGTCATTTTAATAAAACCACAATTTTAACCAACATAAACTTTTTTAAAACAGGATGTAACGATTTATTTATGACGCTCTAAACTGAGTTTGAATTCAGACAGAATCTATGCTTCCATCATATGATTCAAATTCTCAATAAATGATCAAACATGGGTTTGTCTTTTTAAAAACAGTGTTTATGCTGAAGAGTGAAGCATTGCTTGGTAAAACTGAAGATTTGTTTGAACTTCTCTCTTCCTGTGAAACTGGCTGGTGCCTGTAAAATAATCTGTCTGCTCTTGGTGTCTGCAGGAGGATGAGGTGTGAGCTGCAGGAGCTGAGGAGGAAAGGTGCAAAGAGCTACGCCCGGCAGTACGGGGAGCGGACCTGCGCCCGCTGCCAGAGGCCCCTGGGCAAGCTCTGGAACACGGGCGCCGTGTGCCGAGGCTGCAGCCACCGCATCTGCAGCAGGTGCAGGGTGGGCGCGGCCGACTGGAAGTGCACCTTGTGCCACGCCTACAGGTGAACAGAGAGAGTCAGGGGGGGGCGGGGCTTCAAATCGTCCCACTCACCTTTGCACAATCTGACTTCACCTACAGGCTTAGTCCTTTTAGAACCTGAGATTTAAGGCCTCAGAGGCAACATTTTTAACTCTGATGAGTAAAAACAACCAGAGCAGAAAGACTGATGCAACATCAGAAATCCAGATTATGATGTTTGATATTATTGAATGCAAAATGCAACGTTATTTTGAGATACAATATACCACACAAAACAATGTTGTTGAGGCGATACAACATACAATAAAAATTATATTAATCGATACAATACAAAGCAATATAATACTTTATGATACAATGCAAAACAAAATGCTATAATATGATACAATGCAACACGTAGCCTATGATATGATACAAAACAATACACTTATTGTTCAAACTGATACAAAATAAAACAATCCAACATGATACAAAAATAGTAGGATTCAAACAGAATACAATACAGTCTAATATAATATAATATAAACTTGTTTTGGACCCATAGCTGCCTTCACAATGTGTTCTTAAACAGATGGTTCAGGTTTTTTTTGAACTAGCTGCACCTTTTATCTGTTTATTATCGTTGTGGTGTTGTCGTCTCCTGACCGCAGTGTGTTTCCTCTCAACAGGGAGATGAAAATCAAATCAGGACAGTGGTTTTTGGAGGAAAAAGCCAAGAAATTTCCAGTCACTACAGGTTTGTGAGCAATCAGAGGCCGTGTTTAAACAAGTTATCACCGAGTGAATAAAAAACTGATAACTGCATGTTTGTTCAGACAGATTTGCTTAATTTAATGTTAATGTTTAAAGATTTATTCTTTGTGTTATTTTACAGTACATTAAAGAAGAGCTTGTAAGGATTTGTAATGTTTTTGATTTTGCAGTCAAATATGAGACAGTTGGAGAGAAACTACTGGAGTTTTACAATGTTCAAAGGTATAATTAACCCTTAATCTGTGTGTTTGTTCAACTCTGACTCATCCAACTGTTGTCACATGTTTGCTTTCCTGGTTTTTTATTATTGCAGACATATATCAGTGGTGCCTCCAACTCCCCCGCCCCACCTGGACTGTCACTTCAGGAGCAGATTTAGGGTAAAATCCTCCACCAGGATGCATTTTGATATATCTTGCAGTGAACGTGTAAAGTTCACGAACAGCTCTGTGTTTTGATCTGCAGGAGCTGAAAAACTCAAAGAGTTTCACCAAATCCATGGAGGATCTGATGGGTTGCTTGAAAGGTCACATTAAAAGTGAGTTCAAATGGTTAAATCTCTTCAGTTTGTGCGATTCTGTGAAGAAAACTGTTGATTCAAAGTGAGACTTCCGATGGATTTTATCTCACCGTACCTTGAATTCAGCCCGAGGCTGAATGTACGCTGCAGCGACCACACAGGAAGTAATGAGATGTAATAAGATGATGCTGAAAAAAAATCAATGTTGTCACATCAACTGCATCAGCAGAAACTGCAAAGATTGTAAAGATATGAGTGTGTGCTACATTTCCTTTAGAGTGCATGTGACAAACTAAAGGCCCGCGGGCCAAATCTGGCCTCGTTCACAGTTTTTCTGGCCCTAAAGTCAATACTTCAAATGTGAAATAGTTTATCTTTTGTCTCTGTGTTTATTTTATTATTTATTAATTCATTTTTATTTTATTTAAAATTTTCAGTGATCTTTGGTGTGGAGAGAGC